TTTACACACCCCTTCCTGTCGGCTGAGCAGTCAGCTTATAAAACATGACTCAGTGGCTGCCACGCCACAGCTAGGTATTAGATGCGGGACAGGAAAACATGAGTAATGGCAGAGGGACACGGAAGCGGGCAGGCCTGTGAATGGCCTGGGCCCTCCTCCTATTCCTTTGTCTCGTTTACCTCCATGGCTCTGGTGCCCAGCACAATCCATGTCCAGCCCTTAGTAGGGGTTTCAGGAAATGTTTGGGTGAGAAGGTCTGAATAGGGAGTCCAGCCTGGGAGAGGGAGGAGGGTGAGGGTGACACAGTCAGGGCCTTGGGGCCTGATGGTTTGGGTCTTACACTCCCAGGCATGTCCTGAGCAGTGATGGGCTTGTTACTACAGGCGCTGATCCCGCTGGCCCTGGAAGGCACGGACGTGGGGCAGACAAAGGCAGCCCAGGCCCTCGCCAAGCTCACCATCACCTCCAACCCTGAGATGACCTTCCCTGGCGAGCGGGTATGTGTCTTCCTGCTCTGGCCTTTCCACTCCCTGGTGGCCTGTGGGCTGGGCTGTAGCTGCCCTTTGGGACCAGCAGGAAGTTTCAGCTTTGCTGAGCCCTGGGTAGGAAGGACAGCCTGAGAGCGTAGCACTCTCTGCAGGTGGGCTCCTCCCCGCCGGGTTGGTGGGGCTGTGGGGGCTGCGGCAAGTAGCCCTGACAGGTAGGGTGCACGTTGCAGATCTATGAGGTGGTCCGGCCCCTTGTGTCCCTGTTGCACCTGAACTGCTCAGGCCTGCAGAACTTCGAGGCGCTCATGGCCCTAACAAACTTGGCGGGGATCAGCGAGAGGCTCCGGTAAGCCTCCTTGGGATGCGGGGCCTGGGCCAGGCGTCAGGATTTGGAATATCCCAGGCACTGGCTTTTGTGGCCTCAGTGGCTCCTTGGCATTGTTAGAGAGGAGGAGCCAGGCCGAGAGGCACCATGGCACGGCAGGCTCTGGAGGCACACTGCCTCGCTTCCCTGATGGAATTGTGTCACCACAAGCAAGTTACTTCACTGCTCTGCCTCAGTGTCTCCCTCTGTGAAATTGGATGATTATAGTACCTACCTCATGGCATAGTGGTGAGGAGAATGAAATGGGAAAACACACTTAAAAGTGTACTTACCGCATGGGTACCTGGCCGCTAGCATTGTGCCATATCGGCGTGTTTTAGATTTATTACTGTGACTTTGAACGTGGGACTAATTACTCAGCCCGTTTCCTCTTCTGCAAAGCAGCAGTGATGATGATCACACCTGCACCTTTACCACAGGGTAATGGTGAGGATTAGCTAAGATGATGCACGGGCCTGGTCAGGTCAGTACTCAAATGAGGCCGGGGCTCGGTGGCTCACACCTGTAATCTCAGCACTTTGGGAGGCCCAGGTGGGCGGATCACTTGAGATCAGGAGTTCAAGACCAGCCTGACCAACATGGAGAAACCCCATCTCTACTAAAAAATACAAAGTTAGCTGGGTATGGTGGTGTATGCCTATAATCCCAGCTAATTGGGAGGCTGAGACAGGAGGATCGCTTGAACCTGGGAGGTGGAGGTTGCTGTGAGCCAAGATTGCACCATTGCACTGCAGCCTGGGCAATAAGAGCAAAACTCTGTCTCAAATAAAGAAAAAAAAAAAAAAAAAAAAGGGTAGTTCACAGCAAGAGGGTCCTTTGATGTTGCCAAGGAAAATGCTCAGCCCAGGACTTGACTGCAGGAGGGTGTGGGTGTAGAGGTGGAGCAGATGCAGAAAGTCTTGATGATGCTGCCTGTGTTCATCTGTTCTTGCATTGCTGTAAAGGAATACTACCTGAGACTGGGTAATTTATAAAGAAAAGAGGTTTAATTGGTTCATGGTTCCACAGGCTGTATAAGCATGGCGTCAGCATTTGCTCAGCTTCTGGGGAGGCCTCAGAGAGCTTTTACTCGTGGTAGAAGGCTAAGCAGGAGCAGGCACGTGACCTGGTGAAAGTAACAGCAAGAGAGAGTGGGGGGAGATGCCACACACTTTGAAACAACCAGATCCTGTAAGAACTCACTATCGTGAGGACAGTACCAAGCGACGAGGGACCCACTCCATGACCCAGTCACCTCCCACAAGGCTTAGGGTCAAGGTAGAGGGCATAGGGTTTACAGTTCAACATGAGAGTTAGAAGGGCCAATATCTGGGCCAGGCGCAGTGGCTGATGCCTATAATCCCTGAGGGAGGCTGAGGTGGGCAGATCACCTGAGGTCAGGAGTTCGAGACCAGCCTGGCCAACGTGATGGTGAAACCCCATTTCTTAAAAAAAAAAAAAAAAAAGAAAAAGGAGGGACAATGTCTAAGCTGTATCCCGCCACTTCCTCCTGTGGGCCTGCAGGCAGAAGATCCTGAAGGAGAAGGCTGTGCCCATGGTCGAAGGCTACATGTTTGAGGAGCATGAGATGATCCGCCAGGCAGCCACAGAGTGCATGTGTAACTTGGCCATGAGCACAGAGGTGAGGGTTGGTCCCGGTGCTCATGACAGGCGGGGATGCCGACATACCTGTGCCCTGGCTGGGCTTTGCACCCCACTGACGTGGTCCACTCCCCACATCTGGCCACAGGTGCAGGACCTCTTCGAAGCCCAGGGCAATGACCGGCTGAAGCTGCTGGTGCTGTACAGCGGAGAGGAGGATGAGCTGCTGCAGCGGGCGGCCGCTGGGGGCTTGGCCATGCTCACCTCCATGCGGCCCGCGCTCTGCAGCCGCATTCCCCAAGTGGTCAGTGCCTCTGCTCGGTGGGGAGGAGGGGCGGACCAGGAACTCCCAGCATGGTGGCAGCTGAAGGGGGAGGTCCTGAGGGTGTGGGTGTGTTCCTTGCCCAGGCTGAGCCTGTTGCTTGGGTTCACATCTGTCTGTTTCTCACAGACCACACACTGGCTGGAGATCCTGCAGGCCCTGCTTCTGAGCCCTAATCAGGAGCTGCAGCACCGGGGTGCTGTGGTGGTGTTGAACATGGTGGAGGCCTCCAGGGAGATTGCCAGCACCCTGATGGAGAGCGAGATGATGGAGATCCTGTCAGTGCTGGCCAAGGGTGACCAGAGTCCCGTCTCGAGGGCTGCTGCAGCCTGCCTGGACAAAGCCGTGGAATATGGGCTTATCCAGCCCAACCAAGATGGAGAGTGAGGAGGCTGCCCCGGGCCCAAGGCTCATGCACACGCTACCTATTGTGGCATGGAGAGCAAGGACAGAAGCAGCTTTGGCTGGTGGGGCCAGCATGCCTAACACTCTTGCCCCTCCTCCCTTGCCACCCTGTAATGTTCTCTGTTCTGAGTCAGCGGCCACACTTAAGTCACACAGCCCTGCTTGGCCAGCACTGCCTGCAGCCTCACTCAGAGGGGCCCTTTTTCTGTACTACTGTATTCAGGTGGGACTGGGAAAAGTGCATCCCAACTCGGCCTGTGGATCATGGGGCATCGGGAAGGGCGTACACATCAGCAACCTCACCAGCTGTGAGCGTGGCGCACTGTCAGCCCTGCCCCTGCCCGTCCAGTAAAAGTGTGTAGAACTCCAGTGTGTGCTCTGTCCTTGGGCAGCTGGGGCTGCTGTGGGTGGGAGTCTCTGGGTGTGGGTGAGTGTAAAATGGAGCTTCACAGTGGAAGAGCCACCTCCATGGAAGGAATCCAATGGATTCTCAACCAGGGCCCACAGTTGCTGCTTTTTTTTTTTTTTTTTTTGAGACGGAGTTTTGCTTTTGTTACCCAGGCTGGAGTGCAAGAGCGGGATCTCAGCTCACCGCAACCTCCGCCTCCTGGGTTCAGGCAATTCTCCTGCCTCAGCCTCCTGAGTAGCTGGGATTACAGGCACGCACCACCATGCCCAGCTAATTTTTTGTATTTTTAGTAGAGACGGGGTTTCACCATGTTGACCAGGATGGTCTCGATCTCTTGACCTCGTGATCCACCCGCCTCGGCCTCCCAAAGTGCTGGGATTACAGGCGTGAGCCACCGCGCCCGGCCTCACAGTTGCTTCTTAATCCTACTGGCGGGATGAAGGGGCATAGGAAGCTAATCAATAAGAAACTCGCCAGGTGTGGTGCCTCAAGCCTGTAATCCCAGCACTTTGGGAGGCCGAGGCGGGTGGATCACTAGAGGTCAGGAGTTTGAGACCAGCCTGGGCAACGTGGTGAAACCCTTTCTCTATTAAAAATGCCAAAAAAATGGGAGTGGGGTGGCCTGCACCTGTAATCCCAGCTACTCGGAAGGTAGAGAGTACAGTGAGCCGATACTCCTGCCTCCCAAAGTGTCGCCTGGGTGACAGAGCGAGACCCTGTCTCAAAAAATAAACTATCCGAAGAAAATCGTTTGGACACAGACCCCCATATATGCCAGGCCTTCAATACGTTTGCCTTTACGTTGGGAGTCCTTTGCGGCCTCCGCTGAAGGGGCTCGAGGGGGTTGGGTTGGAGGCCAGCTGAGCCTGGTTAAAGGGCTGCGTGGGCCGGGCCGGCTTCCCACCACCCCAGCCTGTTTCCGGGACGGCTAAACCCAGCGTGAGGCTCATTGGCTTGACAGATGCACGTGACGGGCCCCAGCCAATCAGTGGAAAGTCCAAGCTGCTTCCCGTTTGGGCCTGGGTCCGGCGCGTGTCTGGGTCCGGCGCGTGTCTGGGTCTGGGTCCGGCGCGTGTCTGGTCCCGAGGTGCCGAGGTTCCGGACTGCGGTTGGTGGCGGGGTCCGTCCGCCTTGGGGGTCACTCCTCGCCAGCCCCTCAGCTCGGGTCTTCATGCGCGTCGTCTCGGTGGTTCTGCTCTGAGCTGCATGCCCCGCGGGTGCCCGCACGGGCAGGACCGTCTGGTCCAGCTTCTGCCTTGGCAACGCCCGCCGGAGGTTTCAGCCCATTTCACGGGCCTGGCGGCGGCGCCCCGGCCTAGACCTAGGGACCTCGGGCCCGGAGAGGCCCCCGTGGGAAGGTGAACCGGGCTGCGGCCGCCGCGCCCCGGGGCCACGTCACTGCCCTTGCCGCCGATTGGCCGCCTCGCCCCGCGCGCTCTTCCAACCTTTTCTCCGCGGAGCCGTGGGCGCCGGCTGGGCGGGCGGCTGTTCCGAGGCGGCCGCTCTGCGCCGCGGCGTTTCTTCCAAGGCTGCCCACCGAAAGGACCTGCCGGAGAGGGTCGAGGGCATAGGGTCAAGGTAAAGGTCAGGGGCCCCCTTGTGTTGGGGAAGGGCGTTTAGGAGCCCAGGAGCTGGGGTCGCAGGAGGGACCCAAGACCTGACTTCAGAGGCCTGAAAATGCAACGGCGCTTCAGCCGGGGCGGTGCGGCTCACGCCTGTAATCCCAACACTTTGGGAAGCTGAGGCGGGTGGATCGCTCGAGCCCAGGAGTTCGAGACCAGCCTGGACAAGATACCGAGACCCTTGTCTCTATTATATAAATAATAATAATAGGAAAAAGTCTGCTCCAGCCGAACCTGCTTGCAGTGGCGTTGCTGTTGGAACCACCAGATTGCGTTTCTCTCCCCATTTAAGGGTTAGCTCCTTCGGAGCAGACAGCTGCCCTCACTGGCCCAGAGGAGGATCGCTCAGTAAATGCTTGCTGGACGAGTGACTAGATAAGGTACAGTTGAAATTGTGACTGTAAGTTTCTCAAAACCAATAAGATATCCAGGGATAATTTTTTGTCAACGTTAAATACTGGACTCAGTAAGCTAATACTGCGTTTATCATGGTGTTATGTACTCGTACCAAACCTTTTATTTGCATTTATTACAAGCAATTCTATGAGGTAGGTTCAAACACCACCGCCCCCACCTCCCTTTGTAAACTGAAAAAATGCGGTTGGACTCGGGTTAATTGGCTAAGGTCACAAGGCACCGCGAGGCGTTGGTAACCTGTGCAGGGCACTGCCTCCCACTTGCTCTTCTGCGTTCCACTGTGGAGTGGGGAGCAGAGCGCCGTGTGCGGAGTTGGCGGGACCTGATTTCAGCCCTCTGCCCCTCTCTGTCTAGCTGTATGATTGTGTAAGGGTTACTTTCCCTGGGAATCTCCTCTGTAAAACAGGACAATTTTGGTTCCCAAGATTACATGGGATAAAGTGCCAGATGCTGGGAAGCTGCGGGACGGGGTGGGAGTGTCGGGGGCGCCCGGATCCTAGTCTAGTGCCTAAAGGGCAGGCCACTTTGTACCCACTTTGTGGCACGCTGAGCTTGAGCCAAAAGGGAGGACAGGGAAGTGCCCCACTGGATATTTGAGAATGTTTGTAAATCCTGTAGAGCATTAGCTAAGGCGCCGGCTCAGCGGACCTTGGAGGCATGGACATCATCTACCTTTGTAGTCAGAATGACAGTTTCCCCATTTTACAGATAAGGCAGCTCCAGCTCCTGAAAGGCCAGAGACTAGCCAGCGGGCCACTAGGGGGTCCGCCGCAACCAGGTGGCGACCGGCAGAAGGCGCTGCCGGGACATGGCGGAGGAGCCGCCGGGGACCTGGTTCGGCTTCGGTTTCTGCGGCTTTGGGCAGGTGCCGGGCTCCGGACGCGGGCGCCAGGTGCACAGCCCCGAGCCGCTGCAGGCAGGCGTCGACATCCGCCGCGTGACCGCGGGCTGGAGCTACACCGCCTTCGTGACCCGTGAGCAGTCCCCGCCCTGTCCCCGCACCACTGCGGCCAGTTCAGGGTGTTTCTCCCTTTCAGGCCGCCAGCCCCACATTCTGATTTGGTCCCCATTCCCGCCTCCATTCTGCCTTAGACCCTGTTCCAATCTAGACCAGCCCCCAGCGCCGCCCCCAGTTCTAGGTCCCCAGGACATATCCCTTCCCCTCCCCAGCCCGCTCTTCGGTCCGCAGGTGGAGGCCGCCTGGAGCTGTCTGGCTCAGCCAGCGGCGCAGCGGGAGGCTGCAGGGACGCGTGGGCCTCAGAGGGGCTCCTCGTGGTGCTGCACGCCCGGCCCGGGTCGGGGGCGTTACTGCAGGCCTGGGCGCCCGGCTCGGCCCTGCGTGGGGAGCCCTTGTGGACCCAGAATGTGGTGCTGGAGGCCCAAGGGGAAGACGATCCCGGCGGTGAGGCCCAGGCTGGGAGGCTGCCCCTGCTGCCCTGCGCCCGTGCCTATGTGAGCCCCCGGCCGCCCTTCTACCGGCCTCTGGCTCCGGAGCTGCGGGTGCGCCAGCTGAAGCTGGGCGCCGAGCACGCATTGCTGCTGGACGCTGCAGGCCAGGTGTTCTCCTGGGGCGGGGGCAGGTGAGTGGGGGCGGGGGCAGGTGAGGGTTGGTGACTGGAGAAGCAAGCACGGGGGACCCCGTAATGTGACTGTAGCTGACGCGGGTCTCCCTTGCTCAGGCATGGACAGCTGGGCCATGGGACCCTGGAGGCAGAGCTGGAGCCAAGGCCCTTGGAGGCGTTGCAGGGCCTAGCCATGGCTGAGGTGGCCGCGGGGGGCTGGCATTCTGTGTGTGTGAGTGGTGAGTGACAGTGCTTCTCCAGACGAGCTTGTGATTTTGTGCAAACCTTCCTCCTGTTTTCCAGTTTGGGTGGGTGGCAGGCCTCCTCCCACACTCATCCGTCCATCGCCCAGTCAGTTATGATTCCTTAATACCCCTCACCCTCAGCCTCCTCCGCCTCCACCATCGCTCACTCATACCTGTGCTCTGGCATGTGTTCCTAGCTTCTCTGACACTGGTCTCACTGCCTCTCCCATCCCCACCTGCTCCCAGCCAGGACTCTTTCTACAGTGCTGCCAAGAGAGTATGGGGTTGAGGGGGCAGCCGAGTCAAGGAGAGCGGAGAAAGGCTGCAGGTGCCTTGGGGGCCATGATGTGTGGCACAGAGTAGACGCTGGGTGCCCACCAGGCCCCAGGATGCTGCTGGGTGTGACCCTGTGATGGTGCCACGCTGGCCAGAGTGAGGAGGGCCGCTTGGTGATCCAAGTGCCGCTCCCTCCTAGGCTGTTAGAGCGCATGCAGAGAGGGCGAGGCTGAGAGCAGGTGAGCTTTGTCTGTGTCTAGGACCCTTTTTGGCTGCTACTTAGATCACCGGGTGGCTTAAGACATTACCAGTGCTGCCGGGCGCGGCGCCTCACGCCTGGAATCCCAGCACTTTGGGAGGCTGAGGCGGGTGGATCCACGAGGTCAGGAGATCGAGACCATCCTGGCCAACGTGGTGTAACCCTGTCTCTACTAAAAATACAAAAATTAGCCAGGCATGGTGACAGGTGCCTGTAATCCCAGCTACTCAGGAGGCTGAGGCAGGAGAATCGCTTGAACCTGGGAGGCGGAGGTTGCAGTGAGCTGAGATCATGCCACTGCACTTCAGCCTGGGTGACAGAGCGAGACTCCGTCCCAAACAAACTTAGCAATGCCTTCCCTCCCACCATATTCTCATGGAATGGGCCTGGGCTGGTTGCCAACCCTGAGCTGAGCCAACATGGTGAAATCTTGTCTCGGCAAAAAATTTAAAAATGAGCTGGGCATGGTGGCTCGTGCCTGTGGTCTCAGCTATTTGGGTGGCTGAGGTTGGACGATCGCTTGAGCCGTGAAGCGGAGGTTGCAGTGAGCCAAGGTCATGCCACTGCACTCCAGCCTAGGTGACAGAGCGAGACTGTGTCTCAAAAAAAGAACTGGGCTGGAGAGAAGAGACCAGAGGGCTGGAAATAGCCCAGTGGGATGCCTCACACTCACGGTCTAGAAGGAACTTGAGGCCTTAAGGTGGGTGTAGAGGTTGAAGCATGGGCACATCCAGCCAGGCTTCTTAGTTTCAGATCATTGCTTAGGCCCTGGAACCTTGGGCCTGGTATGTGACCACTCTGTGCCTCAGTTGTCTTGTGAGTAAAATAGAGATGCTGCGTAAGTGGCGATACTGTCGTGTAGGGCTGTTGTGCCAATTAAGTGATTATATTTGAACAGCACATAAAACATCAGCATGGATTTAGCGCTTCATCAAATCAGCTGCTGCTGTTAGAGATGTTTGGTGTTAAGTGGCTGTTCCAACCAAAAAGCTATGGTGAGTGCGGCTGGGAAGGCGCGAGCTGCACGTGGCTTTCTACAGGACCCGCCCTGGGTGAGAGCAAAAGGACACGAGCCGGCCCAGGGGTGCTTTTGTTTATTTATTTAGAGACGGGGGTTTCACCGTGTTGCTGAAGCTAGCCTCAAACTCCTGAGCTCAAGTGATTCACCCACCTCAGCCTCCCAAAATGCTAGGATTACAGGCATGAGCCACCACACCTGGCCCCAGCCCAGTGGTTTTGAAAGGGTGACCATTGGGGCACTTCCAGAGACACATCTCTGAAATGAGGGGCAATTTGGCAGCATAAGATTGAAAATGGAAGGTTCAGTGAGGGACTTTAAGGGTGACCTGAAGGCATTGAGGGGACGGGAACCTAAAAGCCCCTGGGGCCAGAGGGGAAGCACCTTGGCCTGGAGTGCTACCCTGGGCAGGCTGGCTTTGGATGTCCCCAGGAGTGGACGGGACGGGATGGGGAGGGGAGTTTGGATGGATGCAGGGGGTTCCCAGTCTGTTGATGTGTCCCCTTGATCTCTTTCAGAGACTGGGGATATCTATATCTGGGGCTGGAATGAATCAGGGCAGCTGGCCCTCCCTACCAGGAGCCTGGCAGAGGATGGGGAGACAGCTGCAAAGGAAGGTGAGGGTCAACTCGACTCCCACAGCCGCTGCCCCAGGATGTGGCTGTCATTCCTGACTCCTGGCTGAATGCTGGCCTGAGAGCTACATTCTCAGATGGAGCATGCGAGCCCTTAGGGGAGGGAGCATCGGCAAGGCTGATGCCAGCCTTGGCACCACACTTGTGCAGGAGTGCCAGACCTGACTGCAGAACGTTGGGGTTCAGAGCACCAGCTTTGGAGCTAGGCAGTCGTGTGCCTCAGAGCTGTTGTGGTAATGAGTGACTGTGTGCATAAGGCTTAGCTCAGGGCTCAGTGTTCACATCATTATCATTTTAAAGCCACGGGACTGAATGCAGATGGCTCCCAGGCGAAGAGAATGGCCCGGGCTGAGGATGGAGCCCCTGCCCCCTTCATAGCTGTTCAGCCCTTCCCAGCTCTACTGGATCTCCCCCTGGGCTCAGATGCAATCAAGGCCAGCTGTGGATCCAGGCACACGGCTGTGGTGACACGTGAGAGGGACTGGAGGGTGGTTCAGGATGGAGCAGGAAGGCACTCTGCTCACTCCAGCTGGTGTCCGCAGAAAGGGGTGGGCGGCGGAAAAACTTCTGTCTTAAGGCTTCTGTGGCTCCTACAGAGCAGCTGCCTCACTCACTGGATAAGCCCCAACCCCTGTGTAGTTTCACAGTAGCTCCCCAGCCTGTCAGGCCCAGAGGATTCTTCCTTCTGGAGGGAGGCTGATGCTCTTTCCTCCGTGCACCGCCACAGACACATTCCCCGCCCACCGCCGCCTCTGACAGCACGCCTGCCCAGTCTGGCCTGCGCTCGGTAGCTTGGCACAGGAGTTGCCCTCGGGATCCTCTACCATGCTGCATGTGATCAGCCAGTTGTTAAGAGAATGTTATTCACACCAGGTGTTTCTCATGAGGATTGCAACATGCTAGCTGTGGGCTGTGCCAAGCCAGGCTGGACAAATGCCAGCCACTGACTGTCCTTTTGCTTTCAGGAACAGGGGACCTGTACACCTGGGGTTGGGGTAAGTAAAAGGATTGTTTTTGTGATCCTGAAACCAAGGGGAGGAAAGACCTGGGAGTACAGGGCAGGTGACAAAGCCACCAAGACTAGAGGAAGCAGGGGCCTTGGCCAGGTCCCTGGGGTTGGAACAGATGTGGGCATACTCCAAGACCAGACGGGGAACATGAAGGGGGTGTCGGTGCCACCCACCTAGCTCTCTGAAACACTGAAGGAAGTGTCCAGCCAGCATTTACAAAGCATCGTTTTGCGGATCTGACACTGGATAGAGAAAAAGATACAATGGAAATGTGTGCTCTGAACATCGTAACTTGGGTAGCAGGGAAGTCTGGAGTGGCTGGTCGCCACTGGCCTCTTGGGGATCCTCAGGGTTACCTGGCTCTGGGTCTCCTCGATTCACAGACGCTGGAGCATAATCCCAGCGTCTCATTGGATAGTCTGGGATCCTTCCTGGAGGGAAAGCAGCAAGACCCAGTGGAGACGATGCAGAGGGTCTGGTTTCACTTAGGTAAATATGGACAGCTAGGCCACGGGGACACCAGCAGCTGGGATCGGCCCCGCCGAGTAGAATACTTCGTAGATAAGCAACTCCAAGTAAAGGCCATCACCTGTGGGCCCTGGAACACCTACGTGTATGCTGTGGAGAAAGGAAAGAGCTGACTTGCGTATGTATATGTAATAAAACACCTGTGAAACTCCCATCTTTGTCAAGGAAAACTGTTGCCTGCACCCCAAGGGCCCTGTGTTTGCCCCTCTCCATTACAGTCTTCCCTTTCACCTTCAAGCACAGTCCTAAACTTGTCTGCTTTAGAAACAGCTGGAGAGCATTGAAAACTCTGCCGCCCAAGGCCAGCATCCTGACAGTGAAAGCAGAGCCTCTGGGGGTGTGGCCTAGATAGTGGTAGAGTCCAAGCTCCGCCCACCTCACCCAGGGAAATTTGACGTGCAGCTGAGATCGGAGCCCGTTCCAGCTCATCTTCCTTTTCAGTCCCTTCCCGGTTTTCGTTTGAATTTTGCCGTCCTTGTGTGCATTTTTATTTAACATAGGTGTTTGCCTTTGAGTGTTAGGTAAATGGAATCGTCCTGGATATGTGCTTTTGTGTCATTTTTGTCACTCAGCATTGTGTGAGCGATCCTTGTTGTTGGGTCCTGGAGTTCATTCATTTTCAATGCTGTATGGTGTTCCGTTGTATGAATATACCTCAAGTGATACAGTCTTGCCGATAGTCATCTTTATCGTTTCTGATTTTGGTCATTCCACGTGATACTTGGAGCAGTGTTGTGCACATGTGCACACGTTCCTCTGCAGAACATTGAGTTAAATTGCTAAGCGAAGAGATGCCTTTAATTTCACTAGATAATTGTTTCCCACCAGAAGTGTGGGGTTGACTGTGTCAGGTAGATGCGCGTTGATTTTAATTTGCATTTCCCTGAATACTGATGAGGTTGAGTAACTTTTCATTTGTGTATTGGATGGCGGGTCATGGTGGCTCACGCCTGTAGTCCCAGCACTTTGGGAGGCTGCGGGGGATTGCTTGAGGCTGAGTTCAGCTGTTGGTCGGCCACTGGAGTTTTCCGTTATGAAGCGCCTGTTCAGGTTTGCTGGCCTTTTCTTGGTGACTTTTCTTTTGTATATTTCAGATACCGTCTTTTGATCGTTAGTGTTCAGAATATCTTCTGCTATCATGTAGTTTGTTGTTTCAGTTTCTCTGGGTGTTATCAATTTTTATTTAATGCTTAGATGGTGCTTGCTGCATGCCAGGTAAGCCTCAAAGTGCTTTACAAATGTCAGCTTATTTTGATACAATGTTAATTCTTTACGGTTAATTTACATTTGTTCATGTGTGTGTGGTTTAGGAAATATTTCCCACCTGTGGGGTCTTTAAGCTTTTTTTTTTATTGTGGTAAAATATACTGAACATAAAATTTATGTTCAATAAAAATAGAAAAATTATTTCAACCATTTTTAAGGATAGGGTTGAGTGACATCCATTCCTGTTGTGTAGCCATCACCCTTATGCATTTGAATAACTTTTTCATTCCATGGTGAAACTGCACATTAAACACTGAACTCCCCACTCCCCTTCCCGGCTCCTGGCAGCCGCCATTCTACCTTCTGTTTCTGTGACTCTGACTACCCTACGTGCTTTACGTAAGTGGAATCCCATAGTATGTCTTTTCATGATTGGCTTATTTCACCTAGCAGCATGTCCTGCAAGTTCATCCATGATGCAGCTTATGTATCTGGACTTCCTGCCTTTTAAAGGCTACGATTCTATTAAATGTATGCACCGCGTTGTATTCATCCATCTGTGCATTGGTGGAGAGGTGAGTAGAGCTACTGTGAATAGTGCTGCTGTGAATGTGGGTGTACAACTCTGATTCTCTGCTTCCGTTCTTTTGGATATAGACCCAGAGCGGAATTGCTTGGTTGTGTGGTTAATTCTGTATAATTTTTTGAGGACCTGCCCTACTGTTTTCCACAGAGGGCTGCCTCATTTTACATTCCCACTAGAAGTGCACACAGATCCTAATTTCTCCACATCCATGTCAACACTTGTTTTCTATTTTTTGGTTAGTAGCTGTCCTAATGGATGTGAAGTGCTATTTCATTGTAGGCTTTTTTTTTTTTTTTTTGACAGGATCTCTCTGCTGCCCAGGCTGGAGTGCATTTGTGATCTTGGCTCACTGCACCCTCCGCCTCCTGGGCTCAAGCGATCGTCCCGAGTAGCTGGGACTACAGGCACATGCCACCACTTCTGGCTAATTTTTGTATTTTTAGTAGAGATGGGGTTCTGTCATGTTGCCCAGGCTAGTCTTGAACTCCTGGGCTCAAGCGATCCACTTGACTTAGCCTCCCAAAGTACTAGGAATATAGGCATAAGCCATCATGCCCGGCCAAGCCACTTTTTAAAACGGGCAAAAGTTAACAAAGACGACAGAAGGATGGCAACTAAGCATATGAAAAGAAGGCCTATGTCATTAGGCATTAGGGAGTTGTAAATGAAAACCAGTGAGACACCACTTCATACGCAGAGTAACTAGAATGATACAAAGGCTGAACATACCAGCTGTTGGTGAAGACGTGGAGAAACCGAAACCTTCAAACATTACTGCTGGGAGTGTAAAATGGTACTGCTTCAGAAAACAGTTTGGCTTTTTTTTTTTTTGAGATGGAGTCTCACTCTGTCACTCAGGCTGGAGTGCAATGGCATAATCTCGGCTCACTGCAACCTCCCCCTCCTGAGTTCAGGCAGTTCTGTTTCAGCCTCCTGAGTAGCTGGGATTACAGGCACATGCCACTATGCCCAGCTAATGTTTGTATTTTTAGGAGAGACGGGGTTTCACCATGTTGGCCAGGCTGGTCTCATACTCCTGACCTGGCGATCTTCCCACCTCGGCCTCTCAAAGTGCTGGGATGACAGGTGTGAGCCACCGTACCTGACCCAGCTTGGCATTTCTTAAAAAGTTAACTGTATACCTACCGTAGATGTGATCCAGCAGTTTCACTCCAAGGTATTTATCCAGAAGAAAAATATATATACATACAAAGACTTGTATATGAATATGTATAGCAGCCTTGTTTTTAATAGCCAAAAACTGGAGAAAAGCCAAATGTAAAAAATCTCACAGATGAAAAAAATGGTGTATCTACACCATGGAATACTAAGCAAAAAAAAAAAAAAAAAAAACCAAAAAACTACGGGTATAAGAAACAGTATGGGTCAACCTCAAAGTAGTGAAAGAGCGAGACCAAAAAAAGTATATGCTGTGTGATTCTTCTTACATAAAACTGCAGGAAATGCAAACTAATCTGTAGTAACAGCAAGAAGTCAGTGATTGCTAGGCAGGGCGAGGCTGGGCAGGAGGAATAAGAAACGACTGGGAGGAAACTTCTGGGCTGGAGATGCTTGGTGACTTGGCTGTGGTGGTGGTTTTTCTGTTTTAGCCTCCACAGGTGTACAGTTTCTGTCCATCCTCCCTCAGTAACACTGTTGGCTCCCACATTGAGACAACAGGCATTGAAGCCAGAAGCTTCCTAGGACTCCCTCTGCTCTTTACACCTTAGCGGTTAGATTTTTTATTTCCCACAGAAACTTCTGAGAATAGGGTATTTTTAATTTAGGAATGTACCAGAAAAGATTTAAAGAAGTCACACTTGGCTGGGTGCAGTGGCTTACGTGTCATCCCAGCACTTTGGGAGGCCAAGGCGGGCAGATCACCTCATGTCAGGAATTCAAGACCAGCCTGGCCAACATGGTGAAACCCCATCTCTACTAAAAACACAAAAATTAGCCAGGTGTCATGGTGGTGGGCACCTGTAATCCCAGCAACTCGGGAAGCTGAGGCAGGAGAATCACTTGAACCTGGGAAGTAGAGGTTGCACTGAGCCAAGATAGATAGTGTCACTGCACCTCCAGCCTGGGTGACAGTGAGATTCAAAAAAATTGACACTCGTGACTAAAAACTTCTGGGAGATCCTTTTAGTCTCTTCCGTTTCTGGTTTTCACACACAGACCAACGAAAAAGTGACTGGGGAAAAAAAATGAAACACCGCACTGTATCTTTTTGAAATTAAAATCTGTATACTTACAATTTATTTTTAAGAATAATTTTATATTTTAAAAACAGGACACATACATGTATGAGTAAACAGCATGGCTGTGACAGACCAAGTCCACACTGGTAAGCTTTTGAGAACCATTTACACTATGTTGACAGTAGTAATGGTTCAGGCAGACAGAGGAAGAATAAATAATAGTGCTTCAGGAAGAGTAGTGACTGAGAGGGTTGGTAAGGAGGGCACCTCATCGTAGATGCTAGAGTAGAAACAACTCCCTCGTAGTGACATGTGCAAAGTTCCAGATCTCGATGACAAAGATAACCCAACCCATCGGAACAGCCAGCCTCCCGATGTGGCTGGCAACTGCAGGGGTAGAAGAACTCAGGCACAGCAGGCACAGAAATGGGGAGACTGGAGCCAGGGACAAATGCTGAGGAGAGTTCCAACGAGCACGTGTGTTCATACATACATACCGCCAACAAAGGGCGTTGCACTGCGCAACGGAACTGAACACAATCTAACAAAGCAGCTCCCACCTTCCTGTCACCTCTTTGGCAGTAGTAGGGCAGGCCATCTCAACTTTGGACACACACGGCCATTCTCATCAGGAGGAAGGCTGTCCTGTGTGGTGGGGACAAGCTTTCAGGTAAGAGCAAAGCTGATAGCTACAGCATTAATTGAACATCCCTAAACAAAAAAGATGTTAATACTCATTACAAGTACACAAGCCAAAATTACCCTAGGGATGGGCACAGTTAGTTAATAATTTTCCTACACAGTGGTGAAATAAAACAAGCTTTTGATCACACTTCAGGAAGCAGAATTATGTGGTAAAGAAGTCAGGCCCCATATGCTAAAATTTGTACTTTCTGCCATAAACTTTTAAAGTCAAAACTAAGTCTCCTAGGACCACTAAACCTGTGGTGGACGTTCATCTGTAACACTCTTTATATCTCTAATAGGCCCATGGTCATGGAGCCTGTCCAAGGCTAGGGTTTTGAGCACACCTAAGCTCAAGAAAAACTAAAGCCTCCCCCATAAAATGAGGTCCAGTCTAGGCACAGGAAGCCACAGCTGGTTGACTGCTCAGGGCCTTAGGACTGGATGTTGGTTGAATTGAGGATTCCAGAAGTAGCGTCAGATTTGGAAGCCTTTGAAAGTTCTCGCTGTTGAAAAATAAATAACATCAGTGGCAATACTGCCTCTATCACACATGCCCCGCCCTTCTAAGTATGGGTAAGTGTCAGCAAAAGGTCCCCTGAAGGCAGTTTCTCTGAGATCCCTAGTGTGGCATAGGTTGCGTTAGGAGCACCATTCTGTTAGTCATAGAGTGCACATGCACCCATGCCCGTGACCTCTTTCCTCAACCAGTCCATTCTGTTACACCTCACAGAAGAGAAATCCTTCATATGGTCATGCACGGCATAATGACAGTTAATGACAGGCCACATACACCATGGTGGTCCCCTAAGAGTATGCCATATTTTTACTGTACCTTTTCTTTTCTTTTTTTTTTGAGACGGAGTTGTTTCGCTCTTGTTACCCAGGCTGGAGTGCAATGGCACCATCTCGGCTCACCGCAACCTCTGCCTCCTGGGTTCAAGCAATTCTCCTGCCTCAGCCTCCTGAGTAGCTGGGATTACAGGCACGCGCCACCATGCCCAGCTAATTTTTTTTTAGTTTTAGTAGAGACGGGGTTTCACCATATTGACCAGGATGGTCTCGATCTCTTGACCTCGCGATCCACCCGCCTCGGCCTCCCAAAGTGCTGGGATTATAGGCTTGAGCAACCGCGCCCGACCTACTGTAACTTTTCTATGTTTGGATACACAGATACTTACCACTGTGTTACATAATTGACTACAATATCCCAGGAATAGCCTGAATCAAAACCCACAATTGCCTACAGTATTCTGTAACATGCTGCACAGGTTTGCAGCCCGGGAGGAAAACACCATCCCACATAGTCTAGGTGTGTAGGCTGTACTGTCTAGGACTGTTAAGTACACTCTATGAAATGTGTACCATGGGTGGGGCAATTTCATTCTCAGAATATGTCCCTGTCATGGACACATGACTGTACTTCACAAAGCTACATTAGAGTTGTCAAGGTAAGTAGGCAACAAGCTTTAATCTCTTGAGCCCTTTATAAAACAATGGGCCAGAACATATATCTACCAATCCCTGGGGCTGAGGGCCTTGTAACCTGCCGGTGATTTGATCTCATGCTGGGGCACATGGTAAAGCAGCAAAAGATAAACACGAACGGCCGTTGGGAAAGACGTTAGCACAGAGGTTAGTTGAGTGGCTTTGGTGCTGCCTGGTGGAGTCTATCAGCTATAGCAACCAAACCAGATGAACCTGCCTAGGACTAGCCACAGAGATAGACAGGTACTTCAGCCTCAAATAGATCAAATGGGCCTTGGGTGAACAAGCAGAAAGAGAAAGCTGGACCTCTGTCCAGCAATCCGTTGGCCAGAGTGACACACACCCACTTTTATAGGTGGAAGCACCACCAGCCACATAATTTGAAAACATGCCAGAGTAGGAAGCCAGTTTCAGTGATCAAAACCAGCCACAGCCTTGGCTGGCCGGTTCTATTCTCCATCTCTGCGGCCATCAGGAGAGGAGGCAGCCTAGGGTTTCACTCAATATCCCCTCAACGGTAAGGGACAGCCTCAGCTCTCCCTAGTAAAATATTGAGAGAAGAGAACACAGATTCAGTAAAAGGCATTGTTGTTAGGTGTTAGCAAATGTAGAGTAGGATACTAGAAAGTGAAGAGCATTCTGGAAAACCTTTTTTCCAGTGCTTTATCTTTATCTATGGGTCAATAGCTCAATGGAAAGAGGCAAAGGTGAGGAAATCAGCATTAGCTAGCTGAGAGGAGACAGAGCTGGCGATTGAGCCCTGAGGGGTTAAGAAGGCATATACTCCAGGAAATAATCAGCACACAGGCCAAGAGCCTCACTGTCGGCAGCACACAGCTGGGGCTCCCCTCCCCGCGTGATGGGGCCTCTATTCCTTCCAGCTCTTGCAGGCCTTTGAGGTCACAACTGGGGAGGGTCAAGGCTTTCTGTTAAACATGATTTTTAAAAACTGCCTGATATTAGAGGCTGAGAATCCAATTCAAGTCTGACAAGTTTTCTTATTAATTAGGCTAATCTGTAATGAATGTAAGTCAGATGTGTTTTTTGAGTCCATGAGAGGAATTCCTGCTTCCTTTGAAACACAGCTGAGATGACTGGTTAGTGTAGCCCTATGCCCAGATGAATGAAGCCAGCAGATGACAGATGAGTTTGGAAAGGGACATGAAACATGCAGGGGTTGCCATACAGACCTGAAGCCCAACAGTGGAACTGTCAGAGAGGGACGGATCCTTCTAAGAACAAAGAATTAAGACAGTTACCAAGAACTCCACCAAGAGAGCACCAGGGCAGTGACAGGGGGGTCACCTCCCGCAGCCAGGAAATGGTATATATATATTAAGCAGAAGGATCCAGGTTAAATGTCTAGTTGCTGCTGCCAGCTTCCTTCCTATATACCGCCCCCTTTAAATCGCACCCACCCTGCCATGGTCAAAGCAGGAAAGGGATTCTCAGCCTCCAAGGTAGCTGCCCTAGCTAACAGCCTGGATGCCCCTGGGAAGATACCCACTCTGCCCCAACCGTGTGCTCCCCAGAGACTGGTAGATATGAGAAAAGGTGAATTACCGCAAACTCAGAATAGGTGCTGGCAACAGAGTTAATGCTGAAGTTGCGCTGGACGGGGGCCGAGCCGGGGTACCCACCAGTCAGGATGCTGCCGTTGAGGTCCAGGTTCTCCTTGTTAGCTCCATGCCTGCTGGCAGGGGGCATTTTCTTCCCTGAAGAGGTGGAAGTAGCGACTGGCTGCAGAGAAAGAGATCCACATATCATCCTAGTGAATGCGCTCGCGCGAGCGCGCACGCGCGCACACACGCACGCACGCACGCGCGCACACACGCACGCACGCGCGCACACACGCACGCACGCACGCGCGCACACACGCACACACACAAATACCTGCAGTGGTTAAAGCCTGAGACTACCTTTATGTTCATGTCTGTAATCCTATACTTTTTAGTTGAAAACATGGGGCCAGGAGCGAGTGGCTCATGCCTATAATCCCAACAGTTTGGGAGGCCAAGGCAGGAGGACTGCTTGAGGTCACATGTTCAAGAACAGCCTAGGCAACATGGCAAAACCCTGTCTCTAGGAAAAAATTTCTTTAAAAATATGAATCCTTGATTTATAGGACACCTATCTTTGAGCATAGCCTAATAAAATATTTGAAAGACTGGGTGTGTTTTACCACATACTTTCCACGTCTCCACTGAGTACTGGGCATGTTTAGTGACACGGTGTCACTGGGCTGGAACCCACATGTCGGGGCCCTAGCTCCATACCAGCTGAAGACTGGGCTTGGAATTGAGTCTACAGAGACCCCCGCCTGACCTTCAGTTTCCCAGACACGTCCCAGGGCTTTCCATGGTACCAGTGGGGCTCAGAGTGCCTGTTCTATTTTTTTGCACATTAGTTTTGGACCATTATTTAATGGTGAGCTAGTTTCTGTCAACTCCCAGCATATCAATAAGAACCAAATGCAGGGATCTTAGAATCTAGAACAAGTAGGTGGGGCCTCTGGGTGAACAGGCTAGGACACACTGAGAATGTGCTTATACACGGCATACTAACCTTGCTGCCAGACGGAGGAAGTCGAGACATGGGAGAGCGGTAGATGGTTCCTCCAAAGATAGGCCGCCGAATGCTGCTATTGGCTGTGGCATTGGACATGGTGGTGGTGTTCAGCTGGGGGAAGAACACATGGGTTACTGATGTGCAGGAACATCCTCAGCATTTCCAGCAACCCGTCTCCACCCTACAGAGAAATGAGTATGGGAGGCAGTTCAGGGAAGATGGGTTTACATGGTGAGGGGCCTGCTGTGTCTAATACTGCATAGCTTTGAAGAAACCTGGGAAAAGTTTTCAAAGCCTATTTATGGCCACCAAATGGAACTGCAAAATGGTAAAACTACTGTGGCACAAGACATCTCTTACGACCAAGCTATTCCACTCTTAGGTGTCTCTACCCAAGAGAAACGAAGCATAGATCCATACAAAGACTTAGACGGAAATGTTCACGGCAGCTACCTCCAACCAAAAGCTAGAAACAGCCAATTACCCATCGGCAGGTGACGGGACAAGCAAACTGGTAAATTCATACAGTGGAATTAATATTGGTCAGCAATAAAAAGGAGTGACCTTTTGATACATGCCACAAGAGAGATGAATCTACTAAATGAAGGAAGCCGGACAGAATATATACTGTGGGATTCCATGTAAAATATTTCAAAGTGCAAACTATAGTGAGAGTAAATCCCTGCTGGCCACAGCTAGGAGGCTGGGGGCAAACCAGGAGCCAGGGAAGGGGGGAGGTCATACAAAGAGGCACTAGGAAACTTTGGGGACCATGGAAATGTTCAGTATCTAGATAAGGGTGACAGTTTCATTGTGTAAACGTACATGTCAAAAGAATATTACATGCTAATGATAAGAGAGCTGTAAACATTTTTGAGATGGGAGTCTCACCCAGGTTGGAGTGGTATAATCTTCGTTCACTGCAGCCTCGACCTCCTGGGTTCAAGCAATTCTCCCACCCCAGCCTCCTGAGTCGCTGGGACCATAGGTGTGCGCCACCACAACCAGCTAATTTTGTATTTTTAGTAGAGGTGGGGCTTCAACATGTTACTCAGGCTGGTCTCCAACTCCTATGTCAGCTTCCCGAATATTGGGATTACAGGCTTCAGCCACTACACCCAGCCAACACTTGATTTGTTTTTGAGATGGAGTTTTGCTCTTGTTACCCAAGCTGGAGTGCGATGGTGTGATCTCGGCTCACCGCAATTCTGCCACCCGGGTTCAAGCGATTCTCCCGTCTCAGCTTCCCAAGTAGCTGGGATTACAGGCTTGCACCACCACACCTTGCTAATTCTGTATTTTTAGTAGGGGGCCAGGCATGAAGGCTCATGCCTGTAATTCCAGCACTTTGGGAGGCCGAGGCAGGTGGATCACCTGAGGTCGGGAGTTCAAGATCTGCCTGACCAACATGGAGAAATCTCGTCTCTACTAAAAATACAGTATTAGCTGGGCATGGTGGTGGCACACACCTGTGATCCCAGCTACTTGGGAGGCAGAGGCAGGAGAATCACTTGAACCTGGGAGGCAGAAATGGTGGTGAGCCGAGATGCTGCCATTGCACTCCAGCCTGGGCAATGAGCAAAACTCCGTCTCAAAAAAAAAAAAAATTCTAGGTGGATGAAAATCTTAGGAAAGCAACAGCCATTCAATGCAGAAGGCAAACTAGGAAATACAGGAAAATATCTGACTTGAGGTCATGGGTGGAGTTCATAAAAGCCACAAGAAAAAAGATTGAAAAAAAAAAATTTAGTAGATTAAGAACTTTCTGTTCATCAGCAAAATGCCACAGAAAGTAAAAAGACAGTGGGGCGTAGCAGCATATTCTCATAATCTCAGCGCTTTGGGAGGCCAAGGCAGGAGGATCACGTGAGCCCAGGAGTTCAAGACCAGCCTGGGTAACATGGCAAAACCTCATGTCTACAAAAAAATACAAAAATTAGCTGGGTGTGGTGGCATGTGCCTGTATGCCTATAGTCCCAGTTACTCAGGAGGATGAGATGGGAGAATGGCTTTAGCCTAGGAGGTCAAAGCTGCAGTGAGCCATGATCATGCCACTGCACTCCAGCCTGGGTGACAGAACAAGACCCTGTCACCAACAAACCCAAAAAGCAAAAAGTAAAAAGACCAGCCAAAAAAGACAAACAGAAATCCTGGGCAATGGGTTTTTTTTTTTTTTTTTTTTTTTGAGACAGAGTCTTACTGTGTCTGTGTCACCCAGGCTGGACTGCAGTGGCGTGATCTTGACTCACTGCAACCTCCACCTCCTGGGTTCAAGCGGTTCTTGTGCCTCAGCCTCCCGAGTAGCTAGGATTACAGGCGTGTGTGACCATGCCCAGCTAATTTCTGCATTTTTAGTAGAGACGGGTTTCTCCATGTTGGCCAGGCTGGTCTTGAACTCCTGACCTCAGGTGATTCGTCCACTTTGTCCTCCCAAAGTGCTAGGATTACAGGTGTGAGCCACCGTGCCCGGCCCCTGGGAAATGTTAGTGTAATGCAAGGGAGTTGCATCCAAAGTATATAAAGAATTCCTGGCCAGGCGCGGTGGCTCACTTGAAGTCAGGAATTGAAGACCAGCCTGGCCAACATGGTGAAACCCCATCTCTACTAATAATACAAAAAAGCAATTAGCCAGACGTGGTGGCAGGTGCCTGTGGGCCCACCTACTTGGGAGGCTGAGGCAGGAGAATTGCTTAAACCTGGAGGCGGAGGTTGCAATGAGCTGAGATCGCACCATTACACTCCAGCCTAGGCAACAAGAGTGAAAACTCTGTCTTAGAAGCAAAAAGTAAAAAAGTAATAAAGTCCTGTCTGACTTTGTGCTCTAGAGATGAAGAATCATTACATGTTCCACAGAGTAAGCATGAAGGTTTTCACATGCTACCACATGGCCACCTGTTAGCCTTGCAGGGGGAAAATAACATTACAGGTTTTCAGGAAAACCTCTGAAGCTTTCTTTATCATTACCAGAATGTTGGCCATCGTTGCCCCCTTCTGAGTTGAATGCAAGGACTCAAGTGCACACACTAAAGCTGGCCATTGGTGACTGTCACTAGAGGCCACTATTCAGCCTTCCATCCACTCTCAAGTGCACTCAACATGAAGGGACAGAAAAACCCTTTCCCCGTCTCTGCAGGACAGAGTGCAGGAGGTGGCTGGGACTACCCTCACCACTCCCTTGAAATCAGCGCTTCCCTAGGCCTTGCGTTTACCTTTCGTGCTTTGCCTGGTGTGTTGGGAGTCAGTCCCCGCCGCTTGCTGGGTGTTCGGGGAGCACTGCCATACAGCATCTCTGTTTCTGTCTGCTTTTTGTTCTTGAGTTGCTGTGTGAAAGTCAGAAGCACCAGTGATAAATCTTAGGAAGAAAGCAGGCCTGGGAGGGGAACAGAAGCAGGGCCCAGAATCTAGGCTCATGTCTCTGCAGACAGAGCTAAAAAGAGCTGCCATGGACTCCCAAGTCAACAAACCCCGGTCCCTGGCAGAGACTCTGGGCTGCTCAGATGACCATCTTACTTACTCTTTCCTGTCTGTCTCTCTCTCTCTCCAGTCGACGCATCTCCCATTGCTCTGCCACATACTCCATAAATTTCTGCCCATTTACCAGAAATGTCTTTGAATGTTCCTGTTCCCACAGTTCAATCTGTGCCTTCAACTCCTCTTCCAGCTGAGACCAGAAAGAAAGACGTGTTCATAACTTCAAATCTTTTTTGTAAGGCCCAAATGAAATGACTTCCCTAGAGAATGACTCCTCCACCCCAGAGCATCATTAACTTCACTTCAGGTAGCTGGGCACACAGGCTACAGGTCAGAGTGACTGCAAATCAAAGCCTGGGACATTTCATTCACACCATATACCA